CTATTTTTTGGTTGCAGCCATCATTGTTGTTTGGCGGGTCCGGGCTGGGGATTCGAACCCGCCACCTTAGGTGTACGTGGCTGGTGCCTTAGCCGGTTGAGCTATAGGCGCCGAGCCTAAATTCAGGATTCTTACAGAAGCAGAGGGAAGCTTGCCTTGGTTCGCTAACAGAGGGAGGAGAGATACATTGTTATTAGTTTACCAAATTCATGATGCCGCCTGTCTGGGAGTCTGGAGACAATAAATCAACATTAGGGAGGGCCCTGGATTGAGAAAAGGAACCTCTCCCACTCCTTCTCCTACTGTGAAGTGGTTAGGACTTTGTATAAATAAAAACAATACTTAAAAAAAAATAAACTCCTGAGGAATACTTTTCCCTAAAAGTTTAGGTAATCAAGCCTCCTGAATTTCACATGTCCACTCATTGAGGTGTAGGTGGGAGGGAGACTTGACCTCCTTATCTGCATCTTGCATCCACCCTGGAACATGACTTCATTATCTCACAGTGAAAAGGGGGTATATCGTTCCCATATCTGTCTTTATCCTACCCTGTCATGGACAAGGACACAGTGAGTTTTTTTGTTTGTTTGTTTTTAGAAATAGGGTCTTACTCTGTTGCCCAGGCTGGAGTGCAATAGCTCAATCATAGCTCACTGTAACTTTGAAATCCTGCCCTCAAGCAATCTTCCTGGGCTCAAGCAATCCTCCTTCCTCAGCTTCCTGAGTAGCTGGGACCACAGGTGTGCACTACCACACCCGGCTCATTAAAAAAAAAAAAATTCCTTGTAGAAAGGCTGGGGATATTGGCTCACACCTGTAATCCTAGCACTCTGAGAGGTCAAGACAGGTGGATTGCTTAAGCTCAGGAGTTTGAGATCACTCTGAGCGAGAGTGAGACCCTGTCTCTACTAAACATACAAAAACTATCTGGATGTTGTGGTGGATGCCTGTGGTCTCAGCTGCTTGGGAAGCTGAGGCAGGAGGATCACTTAAGCCTAAGACTTTGAGGTTACTGTGAGCTAAGATGATGCCACAGCACTCCGTCCCAAGGCGACGGAGTGAGACTCTATTGCAAAAATCTTTTTTTTTTCTTGTAAAGAGGAGGGATTGCTATGTTACCAGGGATGGTCTTGAACTCTTGGCCTCACGCTATCATCCTGCCTCAGCCTCCCAAAGAGCTGTAATTATAGGTGTGAGCCACTGTGTGCCCCAAGCCAGGATAGTTTTTGAAAGGGCTTACTACTTTATGTTCCTTTGGGACATCATATAACTAAGAGGCTGAAATACTGTCGTAAACACAACATATTTGCCTCAAAACCTGTGGATTACAACTTTTTAGTGAACTGGTATGAAAATGATAGCTGAGATCAGCAGAGCGCACTCTCTGAGTGCGGCACTGTACCAAATGCTTGATATGTATTATCTTACAAATTCCTTACAACCACCTTAAGAGGTAGGTATTATCTTCATTATTATCATGCTACAGAAGAAGGAACAGGCCCAGAAAAGAAAAAGAACTAATTCAGGATCACATAGCTATTAGGCATGATGGGATCTAGACAATTCGCCAGCAGCTCTTAACTGCTGCAAGAGACCACATGGCTTCTCCTAGGAGAAAGGGAGATTGGTATTATGCACATTTCATTCCCTTAAAAACTCATTATGGAGAAAAGGTACATTATGCACAGACAGTACATCCTCATTAATTCATTACCTGTATGTATATCATTTTATTTATTTATTTCCCACTCCACTGTGTGCCAAACATTAGGAAAGTAGTAACAAATTTCTTCAGATGGAGAGGGTCAGGAGAACATTAAGGCAATGTTAGAAAAAAATCAGAGTTTATTATCCAGGGCTTCCTATGTGTGTAGCGTTAGGCTGGTTAAACCCGACTAAAGAGAAGTATAGAAGACCCTGCCATAGGAATAAACCACGTAGACAGAAGAAAGTCAGTTTGGCTACAAATAAAAGTCACTTAGCTTTTTACACAGTATAAAAACTAACATTATTTTATAATCATATTTTATGAGCACCACTGGCAAAAAAATAAGGTGATGAGCTTTGGGAGTGGAAAAAGGCCGGACCTTGGGAGCTACTTATCCTACTCGATCAAGCATTTATTTACTGAGGCTGTGTCCAATACGGTGAAAACCAGGTAGGCAGGTGGCGGCCCTCCGGAGATATGGTCTGTTGAGAGTTGCTGCCATCTTTTAGCTAAATGATCTTGGACAATAAACTTCTCCTGTCCCATCTGTAAAGATAAATGTGGTGAGACTAGGGAATCTGTCACTCAAATTACTGGCTCAAAACGCACGCCCAGCCGCTGTGCCCCAGGGTAGGTGGGCAAGGCTCCCCGGCTCCGCACCGCGAAGCCCCTGAGCGCAGCAGCGCGGTTCCGGCCGGAGAGCGTTTGCGTTCGGAAAGCGCATGTCCCTCGCCGCGCGCCGTAATCCCCGCCGCCGCCCGCTGGGCCGGAGGAGGCGGAGCCGGCGCTGTCCCGGCTCCGGTGCGGGGAAGCAGCTGAGGAGGCGGCGCGGCGGGCCCAGGCGGCCAAAAAGGCTGGCAGGTGGCGCCGGTAGCGTGGGGAGAGCGGCGCCGTGGAGTGGGCGCACCCGGCGGAAGGAGTCCACTCCATGCGTGCGGGCCGAGACCGGCCCCTGCGAGCCGCAGACATGAAGAAAGACGTGCGGATCCTGCTGGTGGGAGAACGTGAGTCTGCACCCCCGGCCTGGTCGCTGCAGCTCCGGTCTTCTCTGTCTCTGCGTACCCGGCAGCCCCTGCAGCCTGAGCCCTTCTTGCTCTCACGGCCCCGCTTTCCGCGCCTCCCAAGGCCTCCGAGCTCCTTCGCTCTACTCTTTCGGCTGCATGTCGGGGGCCCTCATCCTCTCACCTCACCTGGGCCCTCCTAAAACCTTTCTTCCCTGTTCCCCGGTCGGCTCCCAAACTATGTCCCCATTATCCCCTGACCGCCCGACCTCATCCGGCCGAAGGTCCTCTCCTCCCTTTCTTCGACTCCTCTCCTCCTGGGCCTCACAGTTTTCCCGGCTGCCTCTTTTCAGACCCTCTTGTCTTCCCTGGAGATCCCCTTGTCACTGGCAGGCAGGTGCTGGAATGGGCAGACTGACCAATTGGGATTGCGTGAACTGGCTCTGGGAAACTAGGGGGAGGGATGCAGAACTATTTGACTTGTGGGCAAGGTCAGGTTTCTGGATTTTTTTGCGCTCGCAGTCTTCTCCCCCTTTACGCATTGACATGAAGATAGGGAGCTTTTTAAGCGATAGAATACTTTGCATTGGAATAACTCCTGGTACTCACGTAATATCCTCAAAAATTTAGTCTGAACTTAAAGTTATGCAGGTGCTCAATGGATGATAATTACCCGGGGAGAGTTTTCTATTGAGGCAATTATTATTACCCTGAAAACCCAATTTGCCTTCTTTTAAAGCATTGTTTCATAGTGGCTGGGTAGTTAATATATAAATAACAATAGGCAAACAGGTGCATGAGGCACCCCTAGAGATTCTTAGATTTCACCTTTTGAAGACGCAATAAAGGAGAAATGCCTCTGTTTATGAACATCAGGACAGAACAGCAGGGACTTCTTGATATCACTGTGCAAATTATGTGACTCATTTGCTAGGACTAAAATAAGAAAGTGGATTGGAGAGGACTGGATTGTTTGTTTTAAAGTACATAAGTTAATGCTCTGGCATTGCTGTTTTGAAGCATTCTATTCTAACCACATTTCATTCTTGAGTAGCCCCTTCAGGTCACCGTGTTTCACTCCCCAGGAAGAAAGTGAACACATTTTTACCCTGTTCTGTAGTGTTTTTTGATGTTCGTTGAGCTCTCAGTTCACCTGTTTGGAGAAATCTCTTTTAGGATTAGAATTTAGAAGTAAGCTTAGCCGGACATAGTTTACTCTTTGGTTTACAATGTGGATTTTAGTTTTTATTTGTAACTATAGCCTAATTACCATTTTATGTGACAAAGTTCGTGAAAATGTTATTTAACATCCCATTCATGTTATCTTTTCTTTTCTTTCTTTCTTTCTTTTTTTTTTTTTTTTTTT